ATAAATAAACATAAGTGGCACACAATATCACTTTGAAATGGCGTGCTATAGATATGACCGATACTGTATGTACATATATGCGATGATTGTTTTTTAAAAATACAATTTATAAACTTTCGTTTTGATTTCGACACTGGAAATATTGTTATTATTAAGTTTTAATATAATAATTTTAAAGATTTTCAAAACTTTTAAAGAGTACTGCAGAATGCAACAATATGCTTGAATTTGTTTACGTCCTCGTTAGCACATTCGTGTGCAGACTGAAAAAAATGGCGAAAAATATTGTCCGAATGGTAAGTTTGCTTCGATTTTTCCCTTATTTATAATTAAATAAATGAAATTAGTTATTTTGCAGCAATTACCAATAGGACAGACGGCAACTATTAATAGACTAGCTGATTTGGGTAGACGAAAGTGCACAACAGCAACATTTACCCCAAAATTTAGTCAAGCTGTTCCATCCCCATCCACGACCATCGATAGTTTTCCAGCTCTGATATGAATACAAACTGTATCTAAATACAAACTCAATAAAGAACACAACAATTAACAGGCATTGAATATCGGGAATTTTGGATGGTGCTTGTATTAGGGCCGGTTGTTCAATGTCTGGTTTTCACAAATCGGAGGGAGAAGCTCCGGTTAAATACAACGACTGCTTTATCGATCACATGTTTTATGCATGATGGCGAAATCGTCGATAATGAGTACTGGTGATAACCAGTAGACCAGAACCCTAAGGGCCGGTTGTTCAATGTCTGATTAGCACAAATCGGAGGCAGAAGCTCCGATTAAGTACAACGACTGCTTTATCGATCACATGTTACATGCATGATGTCGAAATCGTCGATAGTGTAGTGGTTTTGATAACCAGACATTGAACAACCGGCCCTAAGGGCCAGTTGTTCAATGTCTGGGTATCACTACTTGCCGGTTAAACGTCATTATCGACGTTTTCAACAACATGCATATAACAAGTGATCGATAAAGCAGTCGTTGTATTTAACCGGAGCTGCTAACTGCGATTAGTGCTATTCAGACATTGAACAACCGGCTCATAGAGAAGTACTGTGTTTAAGGGGTGTTTGCACAATATCTTTATCATTTTTAGTTCTAACTCCCAGTTAAACATTATTACCGGCCTTATCGACATCCATTATATAGCATGTGATCGATAAAGCATGCCATGTATTTAACCAGAGCTTCTACCTCCGATTATTGCTAATCAGACATTGAACAAGCGGCCCTAATAGCTCTGTTATGCATACTTGGCATTGATTTAGTTGGTGTGCTTATTAAATACAACATTCACACTAAAATGTTGACTAAAAGGTATATTACCGAATTATCGCTAAACGAATTTTCGAGTACGAATGAAATTTAATAGTGTTAAATGTGTATGTGCAAGTAAAATTACAGGTGGTCGAACATAAAAAATCATAGTAAAGCTATATATGTATATCATATCCAAGAGTCGGTAGTTTGCACCTTTTCCAAATTTTTAGAACTTACATTGCACCGTAGCAGTAGTCGTCTTAAGTTTGAAATACTGACAGCCTATTTATCAGTGGATGTTTAATTATAATCAAAAGATTATCTCTTATTGTCATCTTCTCAGTGTACTTAATATATGATTAACTCACCACCACCTTTCATAAGATTTATTAATGGCGAAGCCGGCTTTTCCTGTAAATCGTAAATTGCGAATCGGGTTGGGTTGAATCTAAACAGTTTCTTATTTTGCGAAAACCTAGGAAACGAAACAATTGCAAGCTGATACCTTTTTAATAATGGTTCAAGTATAATTAATGCTTTCAACCTGCTCACACGTATTAGTTGTCAAAAACCATTGTTTTGAACATGTAAACCTCAAGTAAATGTCAATTACACCAATTTACAAAAGTATTTACTAAATGTAAAAATCAGTACAAATTAAAAAAATCATTAGATTTTGCGTACTGATTTCGGGCTCTTAAAAATCAGTACAATAGAAAATAAAATAATGTAAAAAAAAANTTATCAGTGGATGTTTAATTATAATCAAAAGATTATCTCTTATTGTCATCTTCTCAGTGTACTTAATATATGATTAACTCACCACCACCTTTCATAAGATTTATTAATGGCGAAGCCAGCTTTTCCTGTAAATCGTAAATTGCGAATCGGGTTGGGTTGAATCTAAACAGTTTCTTATTTTGCGAAAACCTAGGAAACGAAACAATTGCAAGCTGATACCTTTTTAATAATGGTTCAAGTATAATTAATGCTTTCAACCTGCTCACACGTATTAGTTGTCAAAAACCATTGTTTTGAACATGTAAACCTCAAGTAAATGTCAATTACACCAATTTACAAAAGTATTTACTAAATGTAAAAATCAGTAAAAAATCAGTACAGATTAAAAAAGTCATTAGATTTTGCGTACTGATTTCGGGCTCTTAAAAATCAGTACAATAGAAAATAAAATAATGTAAAAAAAATATTTTTTTAAAACAAGCTTTTATTTAACCTGTACAATCAAAGGAGTAAAATGAAGGAGTGTAACAAAAGTTTTTTTTTACAAGAAAATTTTGTCAAAACTGCACTAAAATGAATAAAATAAAATAAGTTAAGATCTCGTTAAAGTTACTAAAAGCCATTTAGTGAAAGGAGTTATTCAAACTCTAATGAAAATTACTAACAATTTGTACTAATTTACTTCGTTTTTAAAAAAGCTTGTCGCGCGAATAGCAAAACGGCATTTAAATATCTGCATACATACATATACATACATACCTACCCAATTATGCATGTACGCTGAGTTCGCGACAAGCTTTTTTAAAAACGAAGTAAATTAGAAATTTCCGCGATTCGCGCGGGATGACCAAGTTAAATAAAAGCGTATAAAAATCAGAAAATGTACTGATTAAATCAGCGCATCTGGCCACCCTACGTGCGACTTATGGTTCCGAAGTTATACCTGATACAAAATTCCACGCCTATGGGATGTACCAAGCCCCCTTTTACAAACTCGTTTATATATACCCTCCTATAAGCACCTACAATTGATATGTTTGCATACCAAATTTCAAGTTCGTGGGACTTATGGTTCCAAAGATATAGCTGATAAAAATTTCCACGCCACGCCCCCTTCTACAAACTCATCTATATATACCCTCCTACAAGCATTTACCATTGATATGTCTGCATACCTAATTTCAAGTTCTTGGGACTTATAGTCTGGAAGTTATGGCTGATTAAAAATTTCACGCCTATGGGAGGTGCCACGCCCCCTTGTCGGATCCCAATTTTTTTACCCTATTATAGGCCCAGGTGTCATGGCAATACTCTGTCAAAATTTTGTTCGATTCTGTCCGTCCGTTTAGACTGCAACCTGGCACATACATACATGCATACTTTCAAAAATATATAGTAGATTACATATATGGAATCAAACAATAAATAAGTCCATTCCTCATCTTTTCTGACTAAAATCTGAGAAGTGTCAAAATTAGAGAGCGTAAGCAAAACGCGCTCACTAAAAGAGAATAGTAGGAAAAAGTAAAGGAACTCAAAAAACAAATTTTTAGTCCAAAGAATGGCAACAAAAAAACTAACGTCAAATAAGAATAGAAATGTATGCACAAAACACATTCACACAAGCACAATAAACACTTACTATAGGATTAATTTTCTGCCTCCTACCATTTTCAATTCACTTTTTTTTAGTTTTTAGATTATTCTCACTTTTCGTGTATTCTTTAATTTCCGTTAATTTAAATTCAGTTGAGTTTGACACTTTTCAAGATTTTGCCAGCAAAAATTATTCTGACTAAATCTGACTACTTTGGACTGAAGAGAGTCACTCTCACTGAGTGTTGCTCTCTCATTTCTGCTGTCATTTTCGAGTTAAGAAACGCTTTTTGAACTAAATCTGACTAATTCGGACTATTTCTGGGAGATAAAAGACGCAACTAATACATCAGAAATGTTCGGTTATTTGTACAATGATTTTTTGGAGGGAGCGAAAGGGGAAGAGGTTTGGCATTAGAAAGAGCACAGTATAAACTTGAAGAAAATTCAATCTTCGCCTCCCTGTCCTTTCTACATGCATTTCAAAATGGCTTAAAATTACCATTTTCACAAAAAAAAAAAATTAACTCGTGTTGGGCAATCAGCAGCATTTTTGCGCAAAACTCCTTTCCGCGTTGGTGGTCTTTGGCCGCGCCAGAAAAAACGGATACGCTATCCACAGTATTTTAGCGGAAAGTCCACCTCCAAATTTACAAAAAAAAATCATATTTCAAACCGAAATATTAGTTTTAAATAAAAGCTTAAGCCTTTGACTAGACGTATGTATATGTTAAAAATTTTTTGTTTCAGTAGTTTTCATCTTATGTAGATAATGCTTCTCAAAAATACATAGTTTCGTGCTTATACATATCGTCGTTTAAAGTACAAAACCGCGTGTCGTCATTCTGCAAAACCGCGTAACTGACATTTGCTGCCAAGAATTGGATTTGCTCACAGGGGCTCTTGGCTCAATATACTAGCCAGAAATGCGATTCCTTTATAAAAAAGATAACCATATGGAGACATGAGTGGTTTTACTATCTACAAATTAATTTATGCAACCACATGCGGTTTTGCATTTTGTTGATATGCGGTTTTGTACTTTAAACCATGGTAAAAAAATAGGAAGGTAGAACCGCTGAAAGAAATTTTTCAAATTCTTGACGTTTGCAAGCAATTTAATTTTAAAATTTACAACACAAACTCTCACACACATTCTCATTTTCAATCTCAAACCTCCTCCTGTTTTTACTCCCAATTTTATATGATTTTAAAATAATGGCAAACTTCAAAAAAAAATCATGGCCGACGAATTGAGAGAACGGTTTTACCTTACTATATTTTTATCATGCTTTAAACGACGATATGCATCTATGCATATATATTTTTTAGCAGCGTCGCATCTTTATCAGAAAATTCCAAAAAGTTAAAAGTTGCAGATCATCATTTTAACTCGACCTCCCCCCCTCTTCCACTGATAACGGTACCTCGTTTAGAGGTTTGAAAATTCTTTGCGTCAGCAGTTTGTCATCAAACTGCATTAGTAGAGTATAATTTACGTACTCCATCCTCAGAAAAGCAAACAAATTTATTTTCGAACCTTTGCACAGGTGTAACTCACAGAAGGTAAAATTATGTGTAAAAAGCTCCAATTATAGCTTACAAATATATAGTATCTTATTTTATGTTTTACAAATTCCAATCTCGATTTTCATATATCATTTACTAAAATACCTACATACATATCTGTGTCGTTCAATTAAAGTAGCCTGAGTCAGGATAGGCCGTTTTCCCTTTAAAGCAACATTTCATTGGGTTCCCAAACATATTTTAAAGTGTAGTTCAAGATGCCTCTTTAGAAGCTTAGTAAAAATATAAAAATGCTCAAGGGAAACTGATTATTTTTTTAGTTCAAAGTCAAGCCACTTAAGCTATTTTCAATGAACGGCACAGTTATGTATGTATGTATATACATACATACATAATAATTTCAGGATAGTGAAACATATAGCAGGGCAAATGTTCATATTTTAATTTTTCTAAAGCAACTTTTAAATATTTGTTCCAATTAAACAAAAAGCAAGACTACATACATACATGTGTTGTTCTGCTTATGCATATACATACTTGAGAGTTTAACTAAATAGTTTTGCACACATACATATATGCTGCTGGATCAACTTACTCCCCATAAGGATCAAATGATTAGACGGTGCACATGACTTGGATTAATTGACTGTTGACGCTTGACGGTATCCCTACCATCCACAGTCACCACATTGACTAGGTGACTATTTTCCTGGTGGTTCGACCGCAAATGAATATGATGGTGGCTAGTGTCACCTGTATTATTGCTAATACTCGGATGAAGTAACGAAGTTGTGGCTTTAAGGCGTCTATGTAAAAGGCGTTTACCCTATAAAAAGTTGAATTAGTACGAAGGAGTTAAAACGAATATGCAAAAGTTTTCACCTGCCGCGTTTTACTTGATTTGGAATCCTCAATTAAGCAATTTGGCACTTGAAACAGCGACTCACCACGTGTTATCAGCATATTAGTAAGACGACAGCACTGAGCAGCCATCTTAACTTGCTCTTCAATGCTATTCTTGTCAATTGGATGTATGTAACGTGGCGGGAAAAATGACGGCGCAATTATTGTTGATACATTATGCATATTCATCTTATTGTATTCTTTCTGCTCAATGACATTGTTCAGAAAGCGTAGCAACGATCGTAACGTATTTCGATTCTTCATGCGGCAACATCTGGCAAATAATCGCTAGGGCTTTGGATTGATCCGAAAGGGGTAAAGCATGGCATTGATAGAATAGCTGAATGAGCTCATTGGTAAGTAGCGGTTGAGGCAATTCCCTCAACCAACGCTTAAGTAGTGCACTTAGATCATGACACTGGCTGAGCTCAATAGCTGAGTAAACTTTTTAGGCTTCTGATAGAAGCTTGACTCCAGTTCATTGTATAGTATTTCAGTCTAGGAAATGATTTAAAGGTTGAATAAGCCCCAGGATTTCAAATATATATTAATACATGTAATTTACCTTTTGCTTGTGCCCGGCGACGCGCAGGATACCTTCTTCTCTAGCACCACGTTTCGTCAGCTCTTCTAAAATACCTTCAAGGAATAACGGCACCAACGTAGAGTCCCTTCCTGTTATTTGTTGATCGCGTCTTATAAGCGCATTCAGAGAAACTCCGAAGAGGTTACCTTCCTCTTTGCGTCGTCGCTTGAACGGTTTTCGCTTGTCCAGTGACACATGATTACGGTCAAAAATTGCCGCTAATTCTAACCAAAAAACAGTTTGTAGTCGCTTCAATTCTGTCTCATTTATAGTATCTATATCGGTACAAAACTCTAATGAAGCGTCACAGCTATCCACAACATCCTGAAAATGGCAAAATTCAATCGAGTTACATAAAATATAAAAGCGTATCCTTGGGTAAGGTAAAAAGATGTGTGAAATTATTCAAAACATGATACAAAAATAGAAAATAGTAATAGATAAGACTTGCGTGTTTCCAAACTGCAAAAATTCGG